AAGGAAGGAAGGAAGGAAGGGAGGGAGGAAGGAAGGAAGGAAGCCATGCCCACCCACCCCCACCACTCTTAGCTTAGATTAGCACATATAAACTGTTTCTGGATAGAAAAAAAAAATTACAAGTTCCTTTTCATTTCTTAGCTTTTATTTTTTTCTTAAATTATCTAGGTGCACCAATAATGACAGCTTTTTTTGGTTACAAAATTCCTCTTGAAAGCAAGAGAACAATTCTCCAAACCCAAACCTTTTGCCTCCCTCATAAATATCTATGCATGAAACCTATTAAAAAATGGGTGACTATAAATTTTATATTCTCTAATTGTTATACAGGAATTGTGTACTGAATGGAAAAATAATGGGTTACCAAATATAACCCTTTTCAAATTTGTAAAACTTAGACCCCTGTGTTGACTACGGTTTTATTTACACAATTAGGTTAGCCTAATTTGAATGTCAAAATATTTACGAACACCAATGATAAATTAAAGAATGCACAACTTCAATAATACAAACACTTTGAAATTTCACCGACCTTCACTGGAAAACATGAATTTCACACGAAATCGAGGCTAACTCTGCAAGAATGAATCCTTAGTCTAGCAACACAGCAATATTTTATTGTCACTTTGTCACGCAATTCCTTTAAGACCTCACATGTTTTATTTAAGAAAAATTTACAAAGCTTAGGTAACAGCCACCTGTCCTTGCTTTTGCATAAATATTTTATATAAATATGCTATTATTTTAATCCCAAGTGAAAAGCTTTGCGAGCCACACAAGCACCAGGCCACAGGCCCCTGAAAATGAAATAAATCATTGATCGATTTATTCATTTATTTATTTATTCATTCATCCATCTATGTATCCATCAATCCATCCTTCCACCATTTATCCATTCATTCATTCATTCATTCATCCATCTATTCATCCATCCATCCATCCATCCATCCATCCACCCACCCATCTATCCATCCATCCATCCACCCATCCACCCATCCATCCATCCACCCATCCACCCATCCACCCATCCGTCCATCCATCCATCCAATCCGTCTGTTCAATTATTAATTTATTCATTAAAAAACTTACTTAATCAGGCCATGCCAGTATACTTGTGGTAAGATTTCTTGTTTCAAAAAGTACATTGACATTCTTTCCTGGAGAAAAAAAAACACACCTTGATTTAACCTTGATCCTTGGCTTATAATATTCATGGTTCCGACTCAAACAATGGCGAACGAATTACCGTTGCAGCAGTTTTCACAGTGGAATTAAAAGCTTGTCCCATGAGCAACTACACAGTATCTGTTTCAAAGAGTTCTTTAACTATTATGAGGGAATTTTTTAAAATGTTCTACACATACCTTGCCCTGGTCAAAAGGAAAGGTCTCTAGAGGCTTACAGGTATAGCCATACTCGGCTAAGATGAGTTTACCATATCCAGTCACTAGGGGACAAGATGTGTAATAGCCATCATACTGTAGGAATGAAGAGATCACTTGAACAATGAATAATCATGCTAGTTAGGACAAAGATGACTATTCCTAATAATGATGGTGATGATTTTGATGACGGGGATGAAGATAATAGGAATAATGGTGATGGTGATGATGATGATGATACATGATGATAATAAATGATGATGATACATGATAATGATGGTGATGCTGATGATGATGGTGATGATGATGGTGATGATGATGATAATGATGGTGATGATGATGGTGATTGTAATGATGATGGTAATGATGATGGTGGTGATGGTTATGATTATCATATTGATGATGGTGATGGTGCTGCTAATGATGATGGTGAAGATGATGACTGATGACTAATGATGACAATGATGATGCTGGCGTTTGTCTTTTTGGTTAAAAAGAAAAGAGGCTGTAAAAAGCCATATGAATTTATCAAATTTGGCTTAACCAAATAACATGAGTTACCTTTTCAGCTAAAGGCTTCCCTTTCATTAATGACAACAAATTTTTCTTCAAGGTGTTACACTGCACGCCAACGGCAGCGGCAGTCTTCCCTGTTGGTACGTTGGTACAATCCCCAACACCAAATATATTTCTGTATATTTTGTGCTGTAAAGTTACTTGGTCAGCGTCAACATAACCATCTTTGTCTGATATTGGGCTGCCATCAAGACAGGCTGGACCACTCATTGGTGGGGTGACATGAAGTAAATCATACTGTGAAAGCATACATGTTTCATTGCATTAGATGGTTGTCATTGATTAATAATGTCATTTCAGAACATGTGTCATTCCCTTGAGTATTATTTCTTTCTTTACTAGGAATGCTTTTCAGCTATGGTGCAATGTTTTCCCATTCCAGACCATGTGTCATTCCCTTGAGTATTATTTCTTTCTTTACTAGGAATGCTTTTTAGCTATGGTGCAATGTTTTCCCATTTCAGACCATCATTCCCTTGGGTATTATTTCTTTCTTCACTAGGAATGCTTTTCAGCTATGGTGCAATGTTTTTCCATTATAGACCATGTGTCATTCCTAGTGAAGAAAGAAATAATGCTTGTCTAGCTTGGGTATAAACGACACTATTAGCAGGTATAATGAACAAAAGAAGTTTGTACCCAACCTAGACCACAATGAACCTTGTTCACCATCTCAGAAAAGGATGATCTATTCAGTACATGCTTATTGAGAACAACTATAAAAAACTGATTTCAATTTTCGCCCATAAATTAAACCTACTTTATATGTCTCATATTTCTTGTTTTCAGGATCTGCTCCATCCAGAATCTCAAATATAGCTTTTCGAGTTTCGGCATTTACTTCCACAAGGTTTTGCAAGAAGTTCAATTTGATATCTCTGTTCTTGATGATCCTCTTCAGGAGCTTAGCATACTTCTCAACACCAAATATCTTATCAAGAGCAGAGTTGAACATTACAGTGCTCTTGTGTCTGATGCCCATCTGATGGCAGAAGGATGTGATGATGTAAGTAATGACTGAGAATCCAAGGGACTGACTGACTGACTGCTTCACTGACTAACTGACTGATTGACTGACTG